CGTCTCTCTCTCTCTCTCTCTCTCTCTCTCTCTCTGTGAGTTTTGGACTTGTTACTATTTGGAGAATTAAGTGGAGGGAAGGCACTTAATAATATTATCATTGTTCTTGTCTGGGTGAAAATGGGCAGAAAGTGCTCACATTGTGGAAACATAGGCCACAATTCGAGGACCTGCACGAATTTCAGAGGGACTGGTACAAGTTTTAGTGTTGGTCATGCTGGGTTTAGGCTCTTTGGTGTCCAACTTCATCATCATGATCATCATCATCTCATGATGCCTTCATCATCTAATATGAATCATCATGTTGCCATCTCCATGAAGAAAAGTTTCAGCATGGATTGCTTGCCCACGTCATCGGCCTCATCGTCCTCCCCATCTTCTTCAAGAATTTCTGTCGATGAGAATTCTATTCAGGATAAAGCATCCATCGGCTATCTTTCTGATGGTCTCATATGCCGAGCCCAAGAGAGGAAAAAGGGTCAGTTCCCATTTAATCATTTATTTTCTTCTTCTTATTTTGAAAGGAAAATAAAAACTTCAACATTGAAGGGATATTTTACTTCAATTTCTTCTGTGTATTCAGTTTCTATATCACATTTTCTGCACAAATTAATCACCCATTTATTTTTTGCTTAACATACATGTAAATGTTTATTATATATATTAATCTTATTTTCATGCATATGTTATTAGGAGTTCCATGGACAGAAGAGGAGCACCGGATGTTTCTAATCGGGCTCGAGAAGCTTGGAAAGGGTGACTGGAGAGGCATCTCTAGGAACTATGTCACCACAAGAACCCCAACCCAAGTTGCCAGCCATGCTCAGAAGTACTTTCTCAGGCAAGCAAGCCTCACCAAGAAGAAACGACGTTCTAGCCTTTTCGACATGGTATATATGTTTAAAAATCTCCCCCTCTTAATTAAAATTTATGTATGGATTGAATATTTTAATTTTGTGCTCAAAATTCACTTATGTTCATGTATGTGACAGTTTGGGAGCAGCAACAATATCAATCTGTCGACTGGTCATCCTGCCAATACCAACACCTCTCATTATAAGCAGCCATTAAGCGATGATCATCAAGTTCTTTCTCCTAACAATATTATTCATGACATTTCTGGTGCCACGCTGCCTCTGCTTGAACTTGGCACCTCCCTGGCAGCGCAAAATCCAAACTTAGATAATCGAAAACCGGATCACTGCAGTGCTAATCAGCAGCTGCCGGTTTGGATTTACGGATTGATCGATTCCCAGATGAAATATTCATCAAACATTGCTGCCTCAAAACCAGGTTCATCAGCATCAGTTGTACCGGATCTAGAGCTCACGCTTGCCGCGCCAACTAGTCCTAGTTTGGAACAAAAAAATAAATCTTCCCCATCCCCTGCAGGTCCCCTCCTTAATCTTGGACCAATTAGTGTTACATGAAAAAAAAAAAAAAAAAAAAAAACGTCGATGGATTGGGGATGCATTATAGAAATGAAGATGATTTTGACTTTAACCCAATTAAGCAGCTGAGGAGGGAGAAGGATCTCAAGGAGAATTCATGGGCCACTTTTACTTTAATTATAGTTAGTATATGTCTTAATTATATATTTAACATTCTCTTCTTTTCCCTTCCTTTTTCCTCTTCTTTTGAATAAACGAGGATGTATCCATAATCCATGCATGAAAACTTATTATGGAAGTGCTTAGTGCTTAACTTGCTTGGAATTAATTAAAAATTATTCTACTTTATGCTAACTACATGTAGTTAACCAGTTTGATAGTTTGCAGGCTAACAATTATCGGCAGTGACTATCTCTAAATAATTTGGAAAAAGGGCTTTCCGCAAATTCGCTCATTTTAATATTGAATACCTAACCATTGTTGGGTCTTCTCACTAGGTTTATTTTAATCCAGGTCCCTATTTATAGTATTAATTTGCAAATTAAAATAACCAACAGCATTTTGAAGATTGTTCTTCGTAATAAATAAAGAAAGCTTGATATCTTTGTGCCAGTCTGGCTAATGGTAATTAAGGAACAGAAATCCTTGCACAAAAGCAGATGCAAAACACAAACACATAATTAATCTGCACCAATGATTTGATGACAAATGTGAAGGTTTCTTTAATGCATGAATACAGTTTTATTGAATGTTTGATGATAATTAGTACGTACGATCTAACAGTGACAACTGTCGAAAAGAATACCAGACAGACAGGAAGAAAAGAAAAGAAGGGAAAAACGTTCATGGCAGCATGAGAAGGATAGCGTTTTTGGAAGATTGTTTTGCTACTTGAAAATATATATATTGGTTTGTCGTCGTATTATTTCCATACTGCGTAGCTTCTCTTTCCTCCATTTCCATCGTAGCCAAAAACAACTAACTATAAATAGTTAATATCTTTGAGTGCCGACGGGGTGTGAATTCGTATGACACTTTGATAGTGTATGTGAGAGAAACCTCATTCCCAGTTGTAATTTAGACTAGTAGCTTGTATTTAAAAATTAAAAAATCAAGTATGTCCAGGTCTTTACTCAACAACACCACAGCTTGACTCTCTTACATTCTGTAATTTCCAAGTAATTTCATCCCTATAATTACTGTCTGCTCCATCCCAAAAAGTTCTTGACTTTTTAAAGTCAATTTAATGTAATAGTGAGGAAATTAATTGATGCACAAGAAGAAAAAAAAATTCAATATGCAGCAAAACACTAGCTAGGAAACAGAAAGCAAAAAGATCTGGAAACCATGGACTGGTGACCAGGATACAAGTAATTAACTACCATTTTCATAAGTTTTGACTACAATATTCCCAACACTCAAGACTTTTTGTGGAAGTTTGAATGTTTCAAAAGTCTAACCAGAGCCTTAGTAAACACTTCAATTCCTTGACCACAATTGATAATTCCCCAATCTTGTTGTATCTTTCTAGGGTTGTTTTTTCCCTTGTCTTGACGGGCATCTAGCACAATCCATGATTTGGAGAGTACCTTAAGAAAATCCATATCCCTATAACATTAGAACGACAAAGTTATTAGTTCACCAAATAAAAGAAGACAAATTTTTCATTAATTTTATGTGACCACACATCTGACACATTTGTATGCTTTTCTATCGTTTATAAGATAAGGAAGAAATGAAGCTAATCCACATGTTCACAAGAAAACACAATGTCACATTCTAGGGCTTTCATGTCTAGTTAGCTAGGAGTAGGCAGGGACATGGTTCATTGGTAGGAGAAAGACTTTTATGAAACATGGATAGTATTATTTTGCTATCTTCGACCAATAACACCATGATATGCGTCATAATATTTCCACGTAACATAACATTATTGGTCGGGAATTGCAAAACAGTGATATCCCCGTTGCAATTAAGTATATTTGCTATCCCCATTGCAACTAAGTTTTTCTCCAGGTGAGGGTTCTCTTTGAGTATGCTAAATTTACAAGCCAACCCCCTAGTCAAAAGAAGCAAGAAGTTTCATTGCAATCTTCTTTCCTCGCCTGCATGAGAAAAACTTATCTACATTGAAGATGTTGCTGTGACGATATTCTAATCCAATCACGCATGATCATATATTAACCTTCTTGCAATGTAGTGCATGATTGGCTTGAAATATTGTCATATTGGCATCCTGTTAATTGAAATTAAGTACTTCTCCCTCCTGATGGAAAACTAATGTAGAATACATGGTTGAGTTGATTGAGGAAGAGCTGGACAGGTGCGCACGTTGTCGCAGCTACAAAGCCCAATATATGCAAGTATGGGCCCTGAACTCAAAATCAAGCCCATGACCCGTCGTTTCGAAGAGAACGAGGTGACGGGTGCAACTCCCACTTTGTTGTGATATATGAGCTATGTTAGCCAAATTTTATCATTTACTTTGACTTTTTAGTCTTTAAAATTTTAGAATATTTTGGAAAACTTTGTTTATTTCATTTTTGCTTTCTAATTAGCTTTCATAGCAAGCCTAGGGTTTCCTTTGTATAAAAGAAATGCATTAGAGCGTCCTGAAGAATCATCTTATTTTTATTTTGTTGGTAGACTCCGACGTGTTATTTTAGGGTTAACGTTCGATCTCTCTATTTCTTTAGGGTCATGCTAGGGAGACCAATTTTAGATACCAATTTGTGTACCAACTCTCTAATAGAGGTGAAGCCCACCAATACAATGAGTCCCACGCTCTATTAGAGAGTTAGTACACAAGTTTGTATCTAAAATTGATCTCTCTAGCATTTTCCATTTCTTTATATCCCTTGCGTCAGAAACTTGGTCGTAATAGTAGACTTGAAATATTAGTACTAACCATGTGCTTGGAAATTCTTCGATCTTTGTGTCTGTCTGTACGTATTTGTCTTGCTTGATTTAATACCATCTGTCACGTTTATTATCACTTTTAAATTACAGAGACATTCAACCAACTTGCTATGTCTTTAATACCCGTAACTATCTGTGTGTGGTGTCAAATAGTTTGGAAAAACCTTTACTCAATCAAAACAAAACCCACATATCCACTTTCATGTTCACATGAATCTTGTGGAGGATACAAGTTTGTTTCTTCCAGCAAGCAGACACAAATCCCATTTATCTTTTCCCTTGTTTCAAATCTGTACACACATACATGCATTCACATTTCTGTCATGAAGCATAAAAAGCATTGCCATCACCCTCATTGGAGCCCTGTCTTAATATTTTTTATTTATTTATTTCAGCTAATCTCAATTTGTTTAATTACTAATCTGGTTTTGAACCATATTTAGTAAACTAATGACATGTGGTAGGTCATCTCCCATAATATATTCTTGTCAGCAGCAACTAGCAAGGTTGGTTTATTTATAGCCATAGGTAATAATAGGCAGACACCACCAAGGGACATAAGAATTCTGTAGCCGCATCATGTTTGCAAAAGCTAAAAGTATTACATGTACATAATATATATGCAGCATCAAGAAAAGAAAGAAAAGTCTTGTCCATTGAAAAGCATATCATGACATATATATATATATATAATTATATATTAGTGAGTGCATACTTAATGTTAATTATGTCATGTGATGGTGACCGGCCTCTTAATTTAATTAAGAACTAATTGTAAATTAAGACTGAGTTAATAGACTAGTGAACAATCTTTGTCAGTAAAACGTGGATTAACCAACTATTTTAGTTAGCTGATGGAGAATTTGCCTTGATTCTTTCTCATTAGTCGTTTCGTCATTTGTTCTCTTCCCATTCATGAATTAACTAATCTGTATATATATAGAAAGAAGATTCCTGAAACCATTTTCACTTTATTAATTGTAATTATCAACTGGGTTAAACTGTATGTTTCCCTGTGGTTCTGCCTATTTACAATTTCAACCTTAACATCAAAGATGACTTCTCCTGATGATCATGTAGGTTTTTTTTATATTTTATATGGCAACTTTGCCTGACTTCCACTTCCATGGTAACCGTCACCACTGGATTGATTATATCCTCTTTAACGTGTTAAGAGAGCAATGGCCGACAACTTCCAAAGATATATTTGGATATTATTTCATGCAATCAATAGAGTTTACCTCAATTTTCTTTTAAAGTAATTATTATTACTGTAATATGATGATCCCAAGTCAAATTAGGTAGGGAGCACCATGTTTTAGTGACAAACAGCCAAGATGAAATTGCATCTTCCCTTAAAAAGAACCGAGTTTAAGAAAGAAAAAGAAAACTGTGGTACCATTATAAGAACAAATCCATGATACATTTGAGTTTGGGAACATCGCTGATTCTAAACTAGGGAAGAAAAAAACAAAACTAAAATTATCAACCTCAGCAGGAGGAAGGAGGGGGGAGGGGAGGGAGGGAATGATTTACATTACAAAATGGACACTATTTCACAAAGAACAAAATTTTCTGGCTCGGTATATCCAGCGTGCTCTGTTTTTCTCGGTCGCAGTTGGCAGTAGGATTCACTCTTTTCTTAATCATTCAGATGCATGGAAAGTAGGCAACAATTTGAGGAGCTTTACAGTTTAGAAACTTTTCAACCAGTCGACCTCCTTTGCACTCTTAAATACCTCTCCTCCAGAGTATAACAACCCCATAAGGTAAAAGGCTGAAAATTGCATTTTTCTGGTTCATGTTTTGTTTAATGTCATGAATCATGAGAGCCTTGGACCATCATAGCTATACGCTTAGCACTGTCTGAGCGATAGCTTTCTCCTTTAAATCCAATCTGGGAGCAGAAACCATATTCAAGATATTTCAAAACACTTGCTCCAACAAGAACTATGCAAAACTGTAATCTGACACCTTTTTGTATGGTGAAAATTTATCTAGTAAATGTGCAAGTGCAGATCATTACCTCAGTTGGGCTATCAGGGGAAAACCACCGCAACAACACACCAAGATGAACAACAGCAGGAATCATCTTGAAAAGCAATGGCGTAGTGACCTGCACCATTAGATTACAAAAATATATATCCCTTTAAACAGGCCATGTTTTCAAACTGAGCCGCAATTAACATTTCAGTAGATGTCGCACGTACCAGACTGAGAGCTGTTGTGCCTAGAAGCAACAGATATAATTTACCCTGCAATAGTGATAAACCTTCAGCTAAAAAGTCAGGTTATATAAAACTTGAGTTAAGTCCCTAGATTAGCTGGGGTTTGCAAAGAGATTTAAGTTTTATAAAATTTCTTGATAATTTTACAGATGAAGACGCACTCACC